AAGACACTGTAGGGGTTTTTCAGTTATAGACAGAATGCCCCAGACACGTAAAACACCACTGTAAAAGGAAAACGAAGTTTGTTGAATTGTGTGGTTTCAGCACAGAGAGCTGAGTGCTCGAGGAGATCGGCTTTATGACACAAGCTAAATGACGTCATGTTACGCACAGCAATATAATCAGTTCTGAAGACAAAGCACCTTTTTTAAAGACAAATTCAGTCTTTCTTGGGGACCTTCGACAAAAAAATTCTGGTCTATTTGTCTGTATGTCCACCCTAACAATACCTCAAACGGCACCAAGCAGCTATTAAGACGATCGAGACCAGGGACTGCTCCGAACGAATACGGTTTATTAGAAGAAGCGAAGTAGCGCGCGCTCGCTCCAGGCAGCAGTCTTCTTTCTTCTTCTTCCGGCGTTTGATGATGATATTTTATAGGCTCCCACCCGCCCAAGTTGAAATGTGATAAGCTCTCGCGGACTATTTGAAACAACCTTCTATAGTGTATATGTGGTTCACTGATCTTCTTAGAAGCTCTTTTTTGCCTGTGCGAAGGAGACAAGCTCTTGTTATTCTGTCTCGCCCAGGGTAGAGTTTTTCAATCCGGCACATTTTACAAAATGTTCTTAAAGCCTTGTCCTCAACCAACACGATGTCACCCTGTGAGAGTGGTTTTGCTTGCCGCGTCTTGGCTTTGACCGTAGCTCCTATTTCCTTGATGTATTCTTGATGCCATCTTTTCCACCAAGCGCGCACGTGTTTGCATCTGCGTTGCCATGCTTCTTCAATGTCACCGTTGTACAGTCTTGTTTGTCCCTCTTGAAGCTGTCGCCGTCCACCTATGATGTCTGCCGGTGTTAGTGGCATCGGCTCGTCAGGTTCTCTATATACGTAAGTCAATGGTCGATTGTTGAGTGTTCCTTCAACTTCTGCTACAATAGTGCATAGCTCCTTTACCGAAGCTGTGCTTTTCGAAATTATTTTTCGCATCAACGTCTTCAAGCTTCTTATGAGGCGCTCGTCAAATCCTCCCCACCATGGCACGCACTCTGCTATCGTTTTTCACTGAATTTGTTGGCCACTGCAGTAATTCTTTAAGACCTCGTTTTAATTGCTTCGAGCATTCTGTTGATTTCCTTTCCAGCTTTTACAAATGTTTTGACGTTGTCCGAGTATATTACTGCTGGTATTCCCCGTCGAGCTATAAATCGTCGGAATGTTTGTAAAAACTTGACGATGACAAATCGTTGGTAACTTCCAAGTGTACTCCTCTTGTTACCGCGCAGGTGAATATCAGTACATATTGCTTCACAATCTGGTACTTGTCCTTTGTGTAAAGAGGTCCTGTGAAGTTAACTCCCGTAGCTTTGAATGGCTCTGCTTCAGTGACTCTGTCTGCCGGATGTGGAGGTATGTCTTGAGTCGCCGGTCTGGAGTTATGCCTCTTGCAGATGACACATTTGTTTAGAACTCTTTTCACTGCTTGTCTACCCTGCAATATCCAGAACTTAGTTCGAAGTTGCGCTAGCGTCTCTTGAACTCCTCCGTGTGATACCATTTTATGCACGTGACGTATTAGCAGTTCCGTGAAATGCTCATCCTTTGGAATTACTATTACGTGCTTGTTGAATTCTTGGCTACACTGCAATCGTCCTTTCTGTCTGATGATTCCATCGTCATCAAGATAGACTTCGTGTTCATTAATTTCAAATGATCGATTGTTTGAATAGGCCTCACCCTTTGTTTCAGTGATATTTGGGTCTGTCTTATCCAGTATTTCTCTGCATTTGTTACCTCTTTTCCTGTCAACGGCCCTTTGTGAATTTCCTTTCTTGTGTTGTTTATGAATCTGAACACCCATGCTGTCACTCTTATAAGCCGTCCGTATGATGAATACCTTTCGATTTCCAAGATTGGCGCAATTTCGGCTCTTTCCATGCATTGGTGACATTGTGTTTTATGCTGGTCTTCCACGTCTGTATTTGTGCCAATTATGCTTACTAAGTTCTTTTTCAGTGATGTTATCCATTCGGGACCGTTCGACCATAACTTTGATGTTATCAATGCCTTTGCGCTTATTTCTCGTGTAAGTAGGTCAGCAGGGTTGTCGTCACTTTGAACGAATGACCAGCTTGCTTGAAGTGTTTTTTCTCTAATTTCTGCGATTCTGTTGGCAACAAATGGATCTCTTTTGCTTGTTCCCTTGATCCAGTGCAGCACAATCATCGAGTCCGTCCAGCAGTGTATTTCCTGAAAACTTTCGTTGAAGTGACCTTTGATGTTGTCGCGTAATCTTGATGCTACCACTGCTGCCATCAGTTCAAGTCGCGCCAATGCCAGCTCTTTAATTGGAGCTATGCGGCTTTTTGCTGTTACCAGCCTTGATTCTTTGCTTCCATCGGGGTATACTGCTATCAAGTATGCTGCCGCTCCGTATACTAATGGGCTCGCGTCGGCAAATACATGCAGCTTGTATGCTTGTACTGGTTGATTCTTGCTTGCGTAGCATCGTGGGATTTCTAGAACTCGAAAGTCCTCCGCTTCAGACATAAGGTTCTTCCATTTGTCGCATTCATCTTTAGGGAGCTGGTCGTCCCATGTTGACGTTCATTTTCCATAGTCTCTGCAGTCCTATTTTCGCGCGTGCTGTGAATGGCGACAACAAACCGAGTGGGTCAAATATCTTCGCTGTGGTTTGTAACACAGCCCTTTTTGTCAAGTGCGTTGTATCTGTTAATAAATTCCACTTTTCCATAGGGAAGCAAATCATGTCCTTTGAGTGTTTCCATATCAAGCCCAGAAGCATTGTGAATCCTCTAGATCGAATATCTATGTGAGACTCGTCTCTTTCGTTTTCATTAGTTATTTTGTTTAATCGCTCTTCATTGGATGTCCATTTTCTCAAATTCATCGCTGCCTCTCTGAACACTTGCTTTGCCTCTTTGTACAACTTAACTGCTTCATCAAGCGTTGCTGCTCCCAAAATGACATCATCCACGTAGAGCGCTTTCTGCAGTGTCCTTGTCGTATCAGAAAACTGGTCTTCCACTTGTTTCAAATGGTGTTTAATTGTAGCTGCCAGTATAAACGTGCTTGGTGTTGTTCCGAACGTTACTCTTGTCATGCGCCATGTTTGCACTTCATTCATTAACCTTCCTTCAGCGTCATGCTTCCACCACAGAAATCTCATTGCATCTCTATCCTCTTATGTATAGAGATTTGTAGAAATGCCTTTTCAACATCTCCAACTAACGCCACCTTTTCTTTTCGGAAATTAATGAGCAGCGATAGCATGTCCTCATTCAAATTGGGTCCTGCCTCTAAGTTCTCAATTAAAGACATGCCTTTTCGAGAATGTGATGAGGCGTCAAACACTACTCGAACCTTTGTTGTGGCTCGGTCCTCTCTAATAATCACATGATGTGGCATGTAGTAGCACAGTGCATATGGCTGTTCTGATGGCTCTTGGACTATAAAATATCATCATCAAACGCCGGAAGAAGAAGAAAGAAGACTGCATCCTGGAGCGAGCGCGCACTACTTTGCTTCTTCTAATAAACCGTATTCGTTCGAAGCAGTCCCTGGTCTCGATCGTCTTAATAATGGTGCCGTGAACCAGGATACTACCTCCTCGCCGGCAAGAAAGGTCAACCTGCCACAGAGCAGCAGAGAAGAAAACGGCGGAGGAGCAGAGGATCGACCTGGATCGAGCGACGAGACCACGGTGGACAGTACAAGCATCAGAACCTCCTCTGGGACTCCTAATGCCATATACTCTGATATAGCTTTGTCGTAGCGATACAGCGGCCAACCCCATACATATGCAGCAGCCACCAATAATGCTCAAGGTTTAGAGTTCGTAGTTGTGCGATTGTCAATTAAAAAGCAATTATTGCACATTTCTGAGGTGCCATAACAACGCTTCGAAGTTTTGTATGTCTGCCTTTATACTAGAAGAGGCAAACACAAGTAACTCCAAGGAATGTAGCGTTTATCGCGCTGCGATGACCTTGCAACCCAATGCTCAAGAAGGTGTTTCCAACGCTTTGCTACGACGTCACGGTGGTGGCACCTGCCCGTCGCTTTGCGTTCTACACCTTATCACCTCCGAGACTGGCGCGCATCTTTCTCCGTGGGCTGCACGCCTTCATTTTCGAAGATAACTGCCAGATGGCACTTGCGTCTAACGTGCCTCGATGCGCTCGTTTGCCTCCGCTACACGCTTGAGGCACTCTAATGCAGCGCCTCCAGAATACGATTCACCGATTTTCTTGTGCAGAAAACCAAATAAACGTTTTGTTCACTCCCTCCAGACGCAAGACTACCATCTTTCGACTAAATTTGCAGTGTAACATGCAGATTTGGAACCAATTCTTATTCTTGAATTCACCTTAGAGAAATGCAGTTGGGACTGTGTAGTCTCTGGCGTTGTACGTCACAACGTTTGTCTACGAAATCTGCTGATAACCACATTGGTGTATTGGGAATGTTATTTTATGAAGGACTGTTTAATCAACCAGTATTCTGTTTACTTGCTACGAAAATAATCTCTGAACAAGTTTTTCTGAATGTTCAACAGCATGACAACATTATTTTCGCATCATCAACTGAAACAGGGAGTGCTCCTAAGATGTCTGGCTTCATGAAATTTGCAACGCAATGAATCAAAATATTTCTAGCTCTTCACAAGAGCCTCAAAATATTCATGTCCATTAGTATAAATGCAACTTGCTTCTCATTCAGGATATTAAGTTAGCTGCACCGGATTTCTCTGAAACGGAAAGTTTTGTTGCTTCAAAGTGCTCCAACATGCATGTTTTGCTGCTGTAAAAATTGCTACAAATCAGCAGACCTCGTTACCATCACTGTAAAAGTGACTTGTATTCAGAGTAAGCGTAGCTTGGTTAAAATAAATCTCTGTAAGCAGTTGGCTGTGGTGGTTTACATGCAATCAGTAGAAACGGCACCTTGTGGAAAGTTAAAAGCCAGAGAAACATGCAGGTCCACCCAGCTTCCTGCTGTTCAGCCAGAAGTCCAGCATTAGCCGACTTGGCCTGGATGCGGATGACTCTCCGGATATAATGCTGCCCATTCAAGGCCTGAAAAACATTCGCGCTTTGGAATTTGACTCGGTGGCAGATTTCCTCTACTGGATTGATGGGAAGTCTCATGTGATCCGCCGAAGCCGGGACAATGGAACACAGGTGAACCTTTTTTTTTTCTGCCGAAGCAAGATTTTCCTTTTAGTGTCAGGATCTTTGAATTTTTGGGGTATGTTGCTGAAGTTAATAATGCTGCTTTACTATGATGTACATTTATTTCATGCACATATAACATTGTTTAAGTTGAGCCTACCTCGTACACTGAATGTTTCAAAATTTTTGAGATATATGGATTATACTTTCGGGGCATCTTCACTACACTGAAACTATAAGAAAAATTAAGTTTTCTGTTTGCTAAGGGCACTAGCAACTGATGTGTTTTGCTATTCCCATGCCCCCACGCACTGTGTATCGTATATGATGAATGTGTTTATGTACAGTCGAATCTCAATAATTCGAACACGCTTAATTCCAACTTCCGGTTAATTCGAACTCACAATGAGGTCCCATCAAAGCTATGTGTATTCCAATGGGCAAAAATGCCCTGTTATTCGAACGCTCAAGCACTTGCGATGGTTAGTTCGAACATAGTGCGCTCTGCAAATGCTCTCAGCACCACGCCCAATCCTGCAGCGACACCTTCGACACCTCGACACTGCGCGCAAAGGAAAAGAAAATGAAAGAAAGGGCTGCGGGGAATCTTTTCTCTCTCTCAAATGCCGATCTGCGACATGCCTGTGCCATGCTTCTCCCTTTTTTGTCCCTGCCACGTAGAAACCCTTCTCCTTTGAACGCCGCACACAAAGAGAAAGAGAGGGAAAAAAAAAAATCTGTCGCTGAGTGTTGGCTCTTTCTCACGCGCCGGTGCCACGCTTCGCCCTTTCCCGTTCCTGCCACGCAACCCTTCTCCTTTCAACAACGCGCGCAAAGAGAGCAAAAAAAAAAAGCTGCTGTGGACTGTTTCTTCTCTCTCAAATGCCGATCTGCTTCTCTCCGCATAGACACACTCCTCCTTTCTCGTCACGTGCTGGCCACGCTGCGGCTTTGGCAGAGAGAGTAGTAGCGAAGGTGCAGTCGTTGTCTTTAGAGAGTGTCGGTGCTGGACATCGCCCCGCGCAACTTCTCTTGCCAGGAGAATGCTAAGCCGAGGTAGACTTACTTTGCAAGCTGCGTGCAGAATTGATTGACTCGTTGCAAGGCAAACGTGTGCAGACGCGCATAACCCGATTACTTCAATTAATGACAGATTGCCTGTGATTTGTGATTAAATGTAAGTCTTCTGAAACTTTTCGCTCATGTGTCAGCTCAATGCACATGCGCCACTGCATGAGGAGCCCTCCGTTTACTTAGCTTTTATTAATTCAAACTTCTTTTAATTCAAACAAATTTTCGGCCCCTTGGAGTTCAAATTATCGAGATTCGACTGTATTTTCTAAGCTATTGTGTGGGGGAGATATAGAAAAAAACCCTGGTTGCGATGGTTGGCAAAAGAAGTGCTAATGATGTGAAAGGAACTGAAAGCTGAAATGGGTAGGCTAGCCCAGGGCCAAATTAAAATCTCTAATAATGTCGTAACAGTGCACAGTGGTGGAACAGCTGTGCCATATGTGCCATTGTGCGCCAAACCACCCCTGCTGCACCAAACTCGCCTATCAGCTCCATACTGTGCCGCAGCACCAGAATTTAGCTGCAAAGTGCGAACGCGCACCGTGCACTGTGCCGGGAAACGTGTGTGAAACATCATCTTTTTAGTTTCATTGAGAGTGTTAAGTTTCGGTTTCGTAAAGGTTGTGATCGCTCCAGGAGAGGCTGTGAACTTTGATCCTTAGGGCATAGTCGCAATTTCTATGCACACATGATCACATCAGGCTTCAATGTGAATGGCTCGCGAACGCTGCGCTCTCAACACGAAGAGACTGCGAAAAGAACATCTCTTCTTGCCTCAGCTGCATTTTATTACACCAGCATTTTGTTCAATTTTGGGATAATGGATCTAAAACAGTTGTCTGCCAGCCTTACAATTTCTTGCTATAGCATTCATTGCTTCGTCATTCTAATTCTAGTGACACTGTTTTTTTTTTTTAACAACTTTGTGGCAGCATTCGGAAAAGAAAAAAAGGATGGCAGTAACGGTGCTCATGAGAAGGGGGTGGTGGTCAGCTCCTGGAACAGCCTAGAAAACACAGGTGCACATGATTGCTCAATACTGTATTGCTCAGCGAGTGCATGTGCATATTCTCGTTCATTTGACCGCTATGCTTTGCGCTTATCGACTCTGGGGCTGATGCTGGCACGTTCAAGCAATAAACAAAAAAAACATGGGGGTTGTACATAACTGCAAAAGTCTCAGTTGCACTGCAAAGGTGAAGTAATGAATGCGTAGCAGCAATTCGTAATGTTATACCAACGTTGTGTTAAATGAAAGGAGGCTGACAACTAACTTTGTCGGATATGATCTCACATAACTGTACAAAACTACAGCCACTTCAAGGAGAGTAACATGTTTTGCACAGTCTCTTCGCGGTGAGAGCGAAGGACGTAGAAGTGTATGCGAGCCACCTGCTGATGGCTGTTGAGTTAGCGTGCGCATCAATGATTGTGACCACGTCAGCGACCACGAGACGCAAAGTTCATAGTTGTTGCTCGAGCGACACCCCTCTTTTCTCTCTCTCTCTCTCTCTTTTTTTTTTTACTTTCTTCATGCCGGGCAGTGCGGTTCCTCTCTGCTTGGACATCAGGCCTCCCTGTTGCGTCACAAGTATTTTGAACAGAGCTGAATTGGCTCTGAATATTCTTAGTGCTCTAAACTTGCTTGAAAAGGCCCTTTAGGCTGCTTCATGCCTGCCATTTCAGACTAGAGATCGCTAGGGTCCGTATTCCAAATTTTCGCATACAAGACTAACTCACACTGAAGATGCAAAAGAGACAGCGAGAAAGACAACGTGATTCTGGGATGTGGGGCCCGCTCTTGCTTGCCATCTCGGCTCGCGCTTGGCGTCGTGTAAATATATCTCAACTATCGCCTCGTTCTCCTGTGTGCTCTCCCATAACATTTTGGTGAATGGTGCTGGGTAGCAAAGCATGACGGAGCTTCGCAGGGGACGCCGAGTTGCCGCTTCCAACATGTCTACAGAAAGGGATGCTGTGTCAAAAGCTATGCTCAATGCACCAATGGTCCCCACCTCACCTGTGGTCATTGTGACCTCTTCACCCCGCACTCCTGGCAACTTTTCGGGCACTCGCGGCGAGAATGTAGATGTGTGGCTTCGACCGTACAAGCTCGTGAGTCAAAATCACAGGTGGGACCCAACCATGATGCTGGCAAACTTTATCTTTTACTTGAAAAGAACAGTGAAGATGTTGTTTAACAACAACGTGGAAGAGCTCACCAGCTGGGACATCTGTCAGGCGAAGTTGCCTGAGTTGTTCACTCAATCTGCCGACTGCAAGCAGGCAGCTACGAAAGAACTTGGTAACCGTGTCCAGACATCCACGTAATCTTACCTGGCCTACATTCAAGATGTCTTGACCCTCTGCCGTAAGGTTGGTACCACTATGATCGAAGCCGACCAGGTAGCGCGTGTACTCAAGGCCATCACTGATGATGCCTTTAACTTTCTTGTATTCAAAGGCTGTTCGGCAGTTCAAGACGTCGTAAAGGGACACTAAAGTCAAATAACAATTTACGCCAAAGTGAATGCTCAATGTATGACTAGATCTAAAACGACAATATAATCAAGAGCAGTGCCCTACTCACAGAGAAATTAAGGTAAGTGCACAAGAATACATGTGCCCCGGTAGGGCATTCTCAAAATGATACCGACACCGTCAGACGAACCACCTACAATTAATCACTAGTAATTGATCTGGTTGCACTAAATGAAGAACCTTCCAGGGATCAAGAAACGCAATAAAATGCTGCTTGTTCGTTTTTGTTTGGCTCATGGAAAAAAGAGCTGTCGGACGTTACTATGGAAAATAACGCGAGTGGTTCAATAATTTAGTTTTCGCGTGGTTACAGGGGATATGTTGTGCCATTTAGCGGGGCCTAATTGAGTGAAAACACGTCTGCAATCTTGGAGCCAATGGCAGGAAATTGATCAATGGCCGTTATTGTTGCTGTGGCTCTTCCAGCTTTCGTTCTGTGTACTGGGGTCGGCGACCGTGCTGTAAAGCCGGGCAACGTTGCGCACAGTGACGTCAGTAGGACCGCTTTTTGAGGCAAGTAATTTGAAGTGCCCTAATCCAATGCGGGCGCCTCTAAAACGTGATTTTATTTCAAAATAAGCCCTTTCTTAGTGCAAAAGTAACACTACTAAATTTTTGGACCACTATTTCAACAATCAACGTCGACTTTATAGCTGCTTTTAGTGTACTTTTAAGGAGTGCTGATGCTTTCAGAACGCTAAAAGCCGTCGCAGTGCCCACCACATTACCTGTCTCTTGAACACTGCTGCAACGTCAACTTGTGAGGACCTCCGTTTAGAAACCCAGCCCAATCCACCCTCTGCTGACATTCGACGCGAAATCGAAGCGCTTCCACCAGCATCTTGAGGGTCCTTACGTTGAATGATTCTCAGCCCACCATATCCATCATACAGAGCATTGTGCGCCAAGAATTGGCAAACGCGGGCCTTCAGATGATCTATTCTGTGCACCGAGCTGATGTCCTTGCGCCTACTTTGAACACCCATCAGCACTACCACCGTCCTACTCCACGTAACCAAGATCCAAATGCATTGAGGACGCCTGATGACAGGGCAATTCGCTTCCGGTGCAAACGAGTGTGACACATTTTATGTCATTGCCGAAACATGTGGACCCTGCCCTCACGCACAAGCCCAAACTTCAGAAACTTCGACGCATCGATAGCCCGCCCTTCTGGCCAAGAACCTCCGTGCCATGACAACTCGGCTCCTTACAACATGACCGCTACGACCAACGCCCAGTACAGCTACTCACCTTCACCGCAAAGTGAAGGTGAGTAGCTGTACTGGGCTTTGTGGTGGCGGAGGAGATCAGGAGACTTCTGATCTCCTCCCCCACCTGTTCTCTATCCCCGTCCTATGCCCAGCGGTTTCCTTTGGGGAACTAAAGGGTGC